TTTTTAAAATTAATTGGCAGCAAGTATTTATGTAACTAGGCATGTTCAATCGCCTGTGTACACAGAATGGGAGAAAAAGTCGCAACACTGTGGGGGTGGGGAATATTCATGCATACAGTGATGCTCACAATTCCGGCTTATTCCAATTGACACCTCATTTGTGTATATAAGAAGAAATGTGGCATTCGCCTTAAATTGATTAAAGCTAAATGTTTGTCAAGTTAATTTATCTTCTTTTCCCTCCTCCCTTGTTTACTGTACAAATTAGTGTACTTCAAAAGAAAAAGGAACCATGTTAAACATCATTCAAGTGTAACCACTGCACGTAGAATTTTTACGCCTTCCTTTTTTCATAAAAATGCAGTTTCTTCACATACTAAAAGGGAACTATGCCTAAAGCAATAATAGGGAGCTGCGTTCTGGTTCTCCTTCTGCTAACTAGTAATGTCATGAAGTTATTCCATTATGCGCATTGCAGATGTTTTGATGATGCCCACGTTAGTACCACTTGTCTTAGGACCGAGGGGAAGTCACAAGGAAACGCAAAACTAATGCCTCAATATTACAACTGCACTTTTAATAACGTGCCCAAGAGGGGACAAAGCGCGTTGTATGGGACAGGACACAAGTGGAACAAAAACAAAGTAAAAAGAAAACTTTACGTCATCCATTTCGACGGCAGTTTTACGAGAAGGAGTAAACTGGGTTCCTCCAATGACACACCTGAAGATGATCAAAATGGAGGGCATGCCTGTCACATACGACATGTGCAGAACGAGCGAAACAAACACAATGGAAAACACGAGGGGGGCTATAAAAACACAGATGTGTCCAAACCGAGAAGGAGGCTTAGGAAAAGTGGAGGAATCCCCATCCCGCAAATTTTCAAACCCTTTTTTATTAGCCTATCTACTCGAAAAGAGGACACAACGAAACGTAAGAACCTCAAAAATCGCCTACGAAAGTATGAAGAATTGTATGAAGAATTTAACCCCGAAATGGAAGAAAAAGAAGAAGAGGGCGAGGATGAAATTACAGAAAACTGCCAAAGAACTGTCTCTAATGTGACCATGAACGATTGGTATTTAGGGAACGATGAAAAAAAGTACAACAAGACTTTAATGTATGACTATTTATCCAACATGCACAACACGGAATATCAAGACATAGGCAGTGTAAATAATTTTATTAAAAACAATGAACTACTCGAAATGGAGGAATGGGAAAAGAAAAGAAAACCCTACTTAACATACAGGTATAATTTTATGTACACACACCCAGTTAATTTAAAAAAGGAATTCTATACATATAAATATTATATCCCCAAATTAGTAACGTACGAAGAAGACATTTCAACTGAATCAAAATTCGTGCCATCCAATTTTAACTCTCCAAAGTGTTACAATAATTCTCCTATTAACGCTTTAACCACCAGTGGGTTCAGTGGCCGTAATATCGACACATTCGGAAAAGAAAGAAACAAAATATATTCTTTCAACACACCGACCGATGTTAAACGAAATATATTTTTTAACGATTTAATGCTGATATCTTCCTCGTATAATCAACATTTTTTCCCTAATTTGAACTTTCTCCTAAATTTACACACACTGCAAATAATGATACGGGATAAAACTGCCATAGAGACGGATTATTTAATTAACAAATTTGACCAGCTAAAAGAGAAACTAATACAAAGAAATGAACAGAACTCAAACAAAGCGGAAAGTTCTGCAAAAGGGAATAACCATAATCCTCCCCTTTATTATGGAAAAAAGTCTACTGACCACATTTCTGTGGCCATGCCCGAATCTGAGTTACAAATGAAACGAAATAACAGCTCTCAAAACGATGCCCCCAGTTTGGTACAACCCCGAGAAAGTACCTCTAATCAATTGGAGAAAAACCAAAAAGACCCAATGGACGAAGAAATTGCGCGGAGTCTAACCCACAAGAAAAACCTATTTGATGACCAAATTCAAATTTTCAAAGAAAAATATAACCAAAATATTTTAGAAGACACAGAATTTATCAATTTATGGAAGTATGACGAGAAAGGGGAAATAATAGATAATTCGAACAGTATACCCATCCCGAAAATTTACCTAAATATTGATGATCCAAAATATTGTATGTGGAAAATTTTACAAAATTCGGGAAAAAGTGCTTTCGGTGAAATTCCAACGCCTAACCGAAAATTGGAAGCCTGGAGACAACAAGTAAACCTAAAAAAGTTTTATAAACACAATTTTGATAACAGCATAAGTTTGAGGAAAATCTCGAAAGAAGAACTAACAAAGTTTAAGATGAAAATCGATGAGGTAGCGTTCCGCAGTGGAAAAAGTGCTCACCAACAGGATCCCTATAGGAATGAGGAACATGTAGCTGACCCTGAACAGACAGAATTTCCCTCCCATGAAGCACCTTGTGCAAATCCAAATGAACAAAATTGCAGCGAAGCAGACGCGATTGACCAAAAAAAACCTGAGGTAAGTGACTCCAACGGTGATGATAAGATGCCAAGGGACAATCCCCCCAGGGGGATAAACGAGCACAAAACGAGTTCAACGAAAAAATTAAACGAGGATATCAATTATGCCAATTCTGTTACATGTAAAAAAGCGTTCTACACTTTAGTCGTTAGGGACGGAATAGTGGATGAACAACTGTCCGATGATATAGCCATCTTGAAAAACTTAGACAATGAACTGAAGCAGTCAGATGCGAAAGATGTAGAAGGTGAACAGAACCCGAACCCACAGGAACCTTCGAATAGTATCAACCAGGGAGAACAAACGAAAAAAAGCAAAATATTTGTGGGTAGCTTTTTTAATATCAAAGATCCAGAAGTGGAATATTTAATTAACAAAGAATTATATTACATTCCCGAACATTCTAATTGGTACAAAAAAAATACGCAACCTTTTGTCAGGGGACAAATTGGAAAGCAGTCCAGAAAATTCGACAACGATTATCCCATTTATGATTATAGGAAAAGCGACTTTGGCATGGCCAAATTTTCCGCCCTAAATTTAGCCTCAATAAAAGATTGCGCTGTGATTTACCTAGATAAAGACATCGACTTAAGCGACAAGTTTATTCATGTCATATTCATCGCTACCTCGAAGAATGAGGACGATCAGGCGAGCACCAAGGAAGCAGACTACTCAGTGTATGAAAGTTCTCCAGGTGGCGAATCGGTCCAAGAAACTAATGAACCCTCCTCAAAAAAACAACATGACAACTACGTCAACGCTGGGGAACATTCCCAACACGCATCACACAAAGAAGAAAAAAACACACAGCCAATTCTACAAAGCGAAAAAAAATACACACAAAACGAACTAACCAATTATATGCACAACCCAGTGACCGCCCCCAGGCTCGTCGTTTACGTCAAAGGGAATAGCAAAATAAACATCCACGAATCGCACATATCGTTAAACCAGAATAACGGAGGCCTCGTAAACGCATTCTCTAGAATCGCCATGGAAGAAAAATCAAACGTCAAGCACACCTTATCTCAGGAATTAGGTAAAAATGTGTGGTACTTCCACAACGTTTCAGTAAAAAATGGACTCAAGTCAAATTACAAGTTTGCAGACGTACTCCTCGGTAGTCTCTCATCAAGAGTAAATTTACAAATAGAAGGTGAAAAAGGGTGTAAACAAGAAAGTTACGGATTATCGTTGCTAGAGGATAAACAAAACATTAGTCAGTATGAAATGTTTCACCATGAACACCCTAATATGGAAACAAATCAGTTGTTCAAATTCCTAGTATCTGATAAAGGCCATGCCGTTTGGAGGAGCAGAGGTAGAATTGAACGAGATGCAATAAAGGCCAAGTTAAATACCCTCTGCAGATCGGTACTACTAAATTTTGGAGCTAGTGCTGTTGCCATACCAACTCTGGAAATTATTCCAAGTGATATTGAATATGCAAATCATGGAGCAACTGTTAGCGATTTAGAGGAAGAACCCATTTTTTCTTTAATGACAAGAGGAATAAATGAAAAAATTGCTAGACAAATGATGATGAAAGCCTTCGTTAATGAAATTCTTGAGCACATACCGGATGAAAATCTCAGGGAAAGGGTTCACAAAAAGGTTTTAGAGTTATCCCTGAAGTATAGGAAGACGATTTCCCCAAATTTGGACGGAGCGAAAAAGTGAACCCGGCATAAGGAAAACTGTTTTCCTTGTGCTCGAAATATGTTTAAGGAATAGGCAGAATTGGGGAAATTATTTTACCCCCCCTGAAGGATACTTTCCCCCTTGAATGACATGTAAGTAAAACAGATTCAGACATAGCGCCAACGTCTGCCACACAAAGGGGTGGATAGTAAAAGAAACGGAAATAATTAAACCGCGCACAAATCGGTGGACATATAAGGAGACTAAAATATGACTGTGTTTTACTTTTTGCATTTTCTGCCAAAAAAAAAAAAAAATCTCTTAAATATTCCTCTTTTGGAGGAACAGATAAATTTTTTAAAACAAAAGCAGAGGTGTGGGTTCTCTTCCACGCTAAGGCTTCAAACCATATTAACATAACGCCAAAGTTGTTGCCATCAAGAAAAAAATGACTTTTTTAGTAGCCTATTAGAATAAACCATTTTGGAAGGTTTAAATGTTCCCACCTGCTGCTACTGTTGCAATAGAATGCGTATTAACGCACATTTACGAGTTAACTACGTTTCCTTATTGGCTTCAGTTTGAGGTAAAAGCGAGCTTCGTAGTGACATTCTGTTTGTCCCAACATCGCTCCTTTCTTCTTTTGTTCATTTTCTTTTGTTTTTTTTTTTTTTTTTTGTGTGTATCACTTCTGTTTCGCATATCCCCCTTTTTACTTCCCTTTTTTGTACTTTCAATAAAATTAATGTGAAAAATATTTTAACTTTTTTAAATTAACTCAAAAAAGGGAACCCCCAATTGAATATGTCTACACGTGCACGTGTGTATACCCATACGCATTTACCCTGTGCATACTCGTGAACACTACTCCAAGGTAATACCCTTATCCGTGGTGTCAGTTCCCTTGAGTAGTTTTTCCATCGTAGTGGCGTCTATAACGTCTTCATTCGCTTGAGGAATATCTTCGCTGCGCATATTATGAAACTGAGCCTCACAAGTCTCTTCAAAATTATATTTTTGCTCCAGACTTAACGAGAGTATATCCTGGGCGTCTTTACATGGCCCTTTATATTTATCATTTGGAATACACAACCCTTTATCATTTCCCTCAGTTCCGTAGTCAAAATATTTGGGACATTTGGAATAATCTCTCTGTGAATGTTCAACGCATAACCACTTAACATGGCACTTCCTGCTAAATGCCTCCTTTTCATTTATGCTCATATAGTCAAAATGGGTTATACGAGGACAGCTCTCTGGGGGGATGTAATCGTCTGGGGCTTTACAAACTCCTGAATTCATCAAGTTGATCCATCCTCGGGGGCAGTCATATAGGTCATAGCCAACGGTGCACTTGTTCTTACATGGCCAGGGGATTCCGTACTTCGTGGAAAAGGCTACTCTTTGCTACGAAGGTTGGCGTTGTTATAGTGTTTCCGAGTTGTAATTTCATCCGTCATGATAGCGTTATAAGAATTATCAATACTTGGTGAGTGTTTAACACATGTGGGAATGTTCCCAGCTATAAGACCATTACAAAATTAGCACATTTCAAACTCGATTGGTGCACTCCATTTTATCCTTACGTGGTAAGACATGTTGCTTATGGCTTCCATTTCCTCCTTCGCAATCAGTCCTTCGACACCATGGCTACTCCAGCAAGTATCCCTGCTCGCATTGTAGGACCAACCTGTCGTAAATTCATGCATGTTGTTTTTTTTTGGAAAGAGATAAATATGGGAAAGTTGCGGATGCACCTAATTTTGGCAAAATTATTATTTGGATTCTTTCCCTTTTTTAACCTTTAGGACATGTTATTGAGTAATCCCTTTCTGCAATGTGGGTGGAAATGGACGAATACAAATGCATTTTTTAAATTAAGTATCATTTTAACACCTCCCGCTGGCTCTATAAACCCATCTGTAGAGTGCTACCCGTTTAGCGCACATCCGATTAGTAATGAACAATGCAGTACTCGCGTCTGTGTAAATTTGTACACACAGGGGAACTATTTTTAGTTTTCCCTTTTGACAAACTCACCGCATGTCTCTTCTGTGCAAGGCCACACCTATACATTCGTATACGAAGTAGTTAGGAAAAAAAAATTCCACGTATAAATGTTTTCAACATTGTATAAGGCATTTTTTGTGAGTAGTTCTCTTTCTCCCCATTGGCGCATAAATCTGTTCTACGTGTATCAACTTCATCAGTTGGGCAACTGCTAGGTTACCACTTTACAAGCTGTACAAAAATGAGGAATTTAAAAATTTTTTTTTAAAAAGTATATCCCAATAAAGTACAGCACTAAGCACACAAAAGTGTGGTATTTGTGCCCCCATTTTATGGAATATTGAAAGTACCGGAAGAAAACTCTTCCTTCTCCTTTTTTGTGAAGGCCCCAAAATCCTGCAAACGAGTGGCAGTTCAACTCGGAATTTATGTCAACATCAGTCAGACTTCAAGAAACAATAGTTCATATTTCTACATGCGTGAAAGCAGACAATCCATTTACCATTGTCTTCTTGCATCCTCCGGAGTAGTTTCTTCAAAAAAGGGATAAACAATAATAAATGTGATATTCATTGGCATCCACAGCAATGGTAGTAACTGCTATCATATTTGTTTCTCCCCATGTATTTTTTTTTTCTTTCCCTTTTTTATGCCTACTGTGGCGCCTCGCACTTTCCCGTGTATGTCCAATTTTCCGGACACTCCTTTGAGTAATCCCGTTCGCTATTCCCGCACAACTCATTAAGGCATAGCCAATTCACTACAATAAAAAAAGAGAAAAAGAAGATCATCAATACGAGTAACATGTCACCAATATATATGAAAATTTTGGAGCTTCACTTTTCGTGATTCACCTTTACAGTCCATTCCTATGAGACTTTTCTCCTTTGCTATCATGGGTTCAACAGTCATCAGGTGCGAGCAGGGCCCTGCGTAGTCCCTTTCACGAAAGAGGAGGAAAAAATGACAAATAAAAATGGATATATCATATGTATATATCACACGCGACATTTTTCCGCTTCTTCATAACACAAATGTGCAAGTGCCACCACACATGTTTTTTGTCGTCCCATTTGATTATCTCCTCACTTGGGCGAGATGCACTGCGTGTCGGATACTTTCTCCCATAGAGCAGGACACTGTTTGGAGTAGTCCCTCAAACATATTTTATCGTGAACGGGTTTTTTAGAAAGCCATTTCCTCTCTTCCAAATCGTCCATCATCAACTTTTCCAAACTCGTGGGAATTTTAACATCTAACAAATCAGCACTCAAAGAAGATGAGGCTTTGCTTTCCTCGTAGTGGCTGAAAAGGACAAGAAGACAACGATATACTGTTTAATGTAACTCAATCTAATCGTTACACGTATGTGTAATTTTATTTTATTTTATTTTTCTCTCATTTTGTTTTCTTCCCCTGATGAATAACCTCTCCAAGTTTTCCTTTATCTTAGCTGCAAACATAAAATGAATAAAATGGGATGAAAAAAGATGAGGTAGGATAGAGCAATCCACAAAGAAGTCATCACTAACAATTTGAATTCGCGTCCGGAAGAACAACGAAACGAATAGACACGCAATCATGTGTAGTTACGCGCCTTTATTGTTCCACCTAAAAAACTTTGTGCCCCCTTTTTTCTGTACCTCCTAATTCTTTTGCTATACTGCCATATCTTCAAAATTATAAAAAGAAAAATAATGATAACGCAAAAATGTAAAAAAAAAAAAAAAGGAGCACATTTTATTTTAAACTGTAGGATAATATGTTCTGCACAATGCATGAACTTCCTTCGCGTGCCTTTGCAGAAGGAGCGGCAGTTGCGTGTTGTCCGTTTTGGGAATTATTTCCCTGAACTCATACACTATGCACACTCATGTTCAATCGTAAGTAAACATGTGTCATCAAATGATTAGTATTTCCTTTTTGTGAAATCCTCGAAAATTCGTATTACCCCTCTTCTTCGTGCGGCTCTTCTTCCTCCGGGACATCTTCCGCTGTTATATGCATAGCACGAGGCACTTCCAGTTTTTTTTTTTCTTGTTTCTTCCGTTCTACATCTTTCTCATTTTTAGCTACATTAGACACATTTTTTATATTATTCAATTTTTTGCTCTTTGCAATTTCTTTTTTTATTTTATTTTCATCATCAACTTCCTCCTCGTCCTCTTCACTGCCCCTTCCCCGGTGGACCTTTTTTGTAGTTCCATAAATTATGTTTGTTCCTTCGCTAAACTTTTTAACCTTTCCATTTTTTTTAACAACTGTGTAAGAATTAACACTTCCCCCCTTTGGTAGTTCCCACACATGACGGTAATTCACATCCACAATTTTTATCGGCCTCCCTCTGTTGTCCAGCTGGTACACCCCGTTTTCCACGTTAGGGTATTTTCTCCTCGAACATATTTTCAACGCGATTATTTCTCCAATAAGAAAGACGAACAGGACAACTCCCACTTTTTTCATTTGGGCTGGATTTCTGATACTATTAAGAAAGGCACTAAAAGATTATGTAAATGAGTGCAAGTGTGTATTTCTGTACATATATATATATGTGACCCTGTTGTGGGGGATCAAATGGCCAATCCTCACCTTTTTCTGAAGTAGTGCAGTGCAATTCCCTTTAAAGAGTAAAAACAAAAACAAAGAAAATTGTATGTACAACAGCGGACAAACGAAAAGCCAAATGAGCAAACAGTTACATATCCCTTAAGGGCAAAGGAAAGTGAAAAAAATACAATAGTGCGATGCCACAACGGTGTGGATTATGACGCGAGACAAGGACACCAAAGATGACATAGAAACATCCTTCTTCATGTTATAACGCTCTTCCCAAAAGGTGATTATATTTTACCAAAATGTTTTATTTTTTCCCCTTTCAAACATCATTACAAGCTTATGCAGCCCGCGAATCGCAAAATCGCATCATCCCTTATGTATGTACACATTTCTGCGTCCTGAAGAACAAGTGTAAATTTTTTCTATTTTTTTTGTCCATCATGGTTGAATTAATTCGTCAAAAAAAAAAGGAAACAACATTTGGACCATTCGCACCAAGGGAAAAATAATCCACCACGAGATTCCTAGTATTTAGAGTTTTCCAAAATAAAGACACACCTTTCCGCAGCTGCTGCTGAATTATCCTTGCAAGGGAACATAAAAATGCACACAGTTGTTGAAAATGCGAGAAAACAAAACCCGAGCTAAAGCTCCATTTTGCGCTGACAATGCCATATATATGGGCTAAGTAAAAGGTGAAGAGTAAATGAACCCCCACACCATCGTACCGAGACTCACCCCAAGTAATTCCCCATTGGAGGTTACAAAAAAAAAATGGGCAATCTCTCAAAATTGAGCACACTTTTACTCCCATATGATATGACCTCGCGCGTTTTACAAAATTAGAGGGATGCGAAAAAAAACGATTTTCACCCATTTGACACGCAAAGATAAAATAACGGGGACACCACAAAGAAACAAAACCGTATTCTTCCAATCTTAGAGTAGCCTGTAATATATACGTACGGAAATGTACATGCACACTTAATTATATATACATGGAGGCAAATTATGCTACATCCATTTTGCAAAATTGTGATTAAATTTGTACGATAGAACGGAATTGGCAGTGGACCTTCCTTGAACATGCTTCCATAAGAGGGAGACGTGCAGAAGGATTTCCCCTGAGCATGACACCAACGTTAAAGATATTGCACAAAAAAATGATTTTAATTTCAACAACCCTTTATGCTACGCCACTAGTTCAGATAATACAAGCAACACGCCTACTCCTTAACACAATCTACACTTAAGCTTCAGTATGGAAGTCCCCCAAAGAAGGAACAACTCGGTGAACACTCCATAGGACGTCCTAAAATCCATTCATCAAACACAAAATAGGACGAAGAGCCGCTTAAAAACATAATCATTACAAACAAAGATATTGTGTTGTTATGTTTTCCACAACCTTGTAACAAAGTGTATAGCTGATTGGGTGGAAACAAAAAGCGCGAAACAAGGGTTGGCATCGTTGGAAATTAAATATTTCATTATGTACGTCCCCATGGAAGGGCTATCTTATGGATGCGATTAGGTTAATACGTAAATGCTTATTAATGTTGCTTTTGTAAGTACACAAACGGTTACCGCGGGCAGCCAAATTTGTACCATTTTGTGCCATTTTGCGGGAGCAATTGGAAGGCCATGCCCCTACTTTTTCACCCCGCGCACCGCACTCAACAAAGGGGAAAAAAAACAACAAAGCGTAGTGCCAGCAGTGCATGTATTCTGAACCCCGAAATATGCCAGCGTTTCCGCCGCTAAACCGATAAGGACGAAACTCCGTCAAGCATGTTTATTAATTACTCACCATTGCTAAATGACAACAATAATACTGGCAGTAGAAGTAGTAACAAATACATGCTCGCACTGAAGTCGCGTTGACCTGGGGAGGCGAGGCGAAGTAGCAGGTGATGCGTTGCCATGACACCCACGCCATTTTATACGCACAGGGGGCATAGCCACGCCGCGTGCGCACAAATGCGAACATAAGTGTGGGAACCTGCAAATGTCTCTGCGTAGGAATGAAAAAGTGTAAACCATAGGGGCACTGTAAAATCGATGAATAAACAGAATACGGGGACAGCGAACCCTAAAGAAGTGACAACATTATCTGAAGGCAAAATCATCAGGTGACTACTTT